CTATTTCTGGGTCCATTGGAGTCGAGGGAGATCCTTGACTCCTAGTATCGAGCATAAACTATGGAAACCCCTACAATGGATGAAAACAACAACCAGTGTATGACGAAAAGGAAAATAATAACTACCTAATGAATTTCTAGAAATTATAAAACTCTAAAATACATTCCTCGGCAATGGCACCAGACATTTGATGTCGCTCAGACTACATCCTTTTATGGGATTGGAGTGGTCTATTAAAAATACAGTAACCAATCTAGGTTGAGGTTGAATCTCGTAGAGAGCGTACTACAGTTTGTTTATAATTTGTTGTTAAGATTCACAAAAGTAACTATTATTGGAAAATTGGGGGGTTTGGATTATAATCTATTAACTACTTTCATTGCTTAGATTTGTAATCAATAAGGAAGACAAATTGTCACGCCCTGAGATTATCCCCTAGACGTGACACGGTTCTTAGAGCCACAAGTGACCTTAGGCTAACCTCATGGAATGACATTAAGAAGCATAGAATAGACTAAATAAACTAAAAGGCAAAATAAAGTCTAAAATAGTCTAACATATCATAAGAAAGAATGTGATACAAAACAAAAATGCAGAAATCTAACTAACTGTCTGAAAAACCTCTACTAACATGAGTGACTAGCTAGGATAAACCCCTAGCTCACTTTAACTATCTGAAAATTGAAAGTAATGACTGAAATCGAAGATAGAGAGGTCGTCCTAGGATAATGAGGCATCACCAAAGCTACTCTAATGTTGACTGAATCTATAATAATCGTGGGATAGATGATGAATGTCAGAACCTATCTTATGAAACAATATAGACAGAATAGTATGCGGTCAGTATTTGGAATGTACTGAGTATGAGGAAATGCATAAAACATGATATGTATGTAGAACATGGTGAGCAAAGACCAAGTAAACTAATTTATACTGATCTAAAATACATAGTTAAAAGGTCATGCAATAACTCAAAAATCATATCATAATGTGGGAGATACTAATAACCGACATAAGTCATGTGAGCTACAACATAGAGTTCAGTGTACTTCTCCCACGCAGGAAAGGAAGTGTTCTACTTACCAAGGTAAGGACCATGATATCTGAGCTAAGGTGGATCCACTAGCTAATGTATGTTTGAGATATAACCTATGGGGGCACGTAGTTTTGGGGATTAGGAATTACTACCTAAAGGTCCACAGATGCCAAAAGGTAACATTCATCCCAAAATTCCACTCGGTGCTAAGTATACTCTCAGGAAACATGTCTAAATCTGGAAATAGTAATAAATTGTCCTACTGAATCAACTGATTATTTGATAAAGTGGTGAGTAGCTCCTAAATTATGATAACTAAATATAATCTGAATGATACTTTAATCGAAAGCATCTAAATCATAATATTTATAAATACTGAGAGATACTTCATTTGGAAGCATCACATCTCATGAAAAACTGATAACTTGAGACATGCATATGAAAATAACATAATTTTGATCATGAAAATACTTGTAGAGTATGGGCTCATAAAAATATCATTATTAACATGGAATTATAATCAATTCACGCAATTTAAGATCTATTATAGAGAAGAAGAAACTGAAATTCAATAAGAACCCATGAAGATCACATGAACCCTAGTTTTGGGGAAACGTAAAATGAGAAATTGAAGTTTCTTTGGAACTCAATGGGTGAAAAAGAACCCATTGATGAAGTTCCAACATACCTTGAATGAAACCCTAGCTTGAATCTTGGAAAAAGGGGCTTGAAGATTGAATCCCGTATTCTTGCCTTGAGAGGAAACTTGGGAGAGAAGAAACATTAACTTGGGAGAATGAGAGGGAATCAAGAGGTTAGGATCTTAAGGAATCAGTTATACCCACTTAAAATAGGCCAAAATGACATAGTATAGGAATTAAAACAATAGGAAAAGACTAAAATAATCTTGACTTATAAATGTCGACAACTTCTACAGGAGCCCTCCACGGACATTTCAACACTTCACGGTTCGTGAAGGTGTCCGTGAATGTAGAGGAGTCTGGGTTCTGAGGGCCAACTTATACGAAAGCTCCTACAGGACGTACAACACTCCACGGTCCACACAAGCGTCCATGAAGGGCAAGATTCCTGAGTCCTAGGGGGTTCTATCTTTCACAGTTCGTGAATCCATCTGTGAAACTTACCTCCGAAAGTTCCAACTAAGTTCAAGTCCACAGGTCCTTCATGGCTCATGGTTCCTTTCATGATCTGTGAATGGTTCTGTACAATCCCATTTTTCTGCAACAATTCAGTTCTTCTTGTTTCCAAGGTCATGTCTGGTCTTAGTAACCGTCGGGTGTTTCACAAACTAGGGCTAAAGTTCTTAGATATCAGAACTCCAAAATTCTTTACTATACAGTCATTCAAGTGTGTTCATTGTGCACAACTAATCTATAAGTTTCTTAAAGCCTCTCGACTCAATTAAGAGAATCTCACCCAAAGTCATTCTCAATCACTTGAGTGTCGAATTAATTTGTTCATATTGTCATAATTTTCAAGATAACTATCTTCTCTCTATCTCAAGTTATTAGACGGTGGTTGGTAGTACCAAATCCATGTTAATGAATAATTTTCCTAGTTTATACCTCTATGGTCAAGCATGTAAGAATACATTACTTATTGTCAATCAACTTTAGAGAAAATGTTATGTATGAAAGGAACTTAGTACACAATAATCACTCTTTTATAAACAGATGTTTTACTGTAAAGCGTTCATTATCATCATCTCTACCCTAAGTTCCATAACTCTAGCTACTCATAGCTAGTGTAGAATAACAATTATAATAATTTAAACTACTGGAAAATATGAATGTAAGAGATAACAAGAGAACCTTTGATTAAAGCACCACTTGCAAGTTAATCTTGTTAGTTCCACAATAATCGTCTAGAACTATGAAGTAAACCCTAGAATCTAAGAACAATAATTTCTAATATTTAATATTAAGTCCTAATAGCTATTCTAAGAATTTGTTCCTCTTTAAAAACATCATCAATATATATATATATATATATAGGGAATCGAAATCCTAATCCCAGTTGGACTCTGCGTTGACTGGGTCAAACCTAGTCTAACAGACAAAAGAGGGTCGCAATGTGAGGAGCATTGAGAGGAGCCCTGCCTCGCCATGCAAGGCTCATCTCACACTTGTCCTCCTTTTGTGGAGTCTTTGAAGTTTAGTTTCTTGACAAGTGCGGCGCGAGGTTTATCTCATGATCCTTTCTGGAGCAATTTTCCTTCATTTTTGCCTAAATCACTTTGCTTTATGTTTTTTATCCATCACATGGGTCTTTTGTTGCTATCTTTGGCCTGAAATTAAACGTAACATATCCATTAGCTCATCACAGCATATCATGAATTTCACAAGATTATACTTAGAACTAGGCTAAAATATGGGTTAAACGTGGTGTTTAAATGCGTAAATACACCCCAAACTAAATCAGCTTTATATAGCTTACTCCTTCATTTGATCCCTTATGACATACCAAAGTTGCCCTCCAAGCTACAATATCTATATTTAGCGAATAGAAATATAAGGGCTATATAACAAGCACGGCCATGCCGAAAACATAGTAATTATCTCAACAAGTTACAAGCTCATCAAATACTATAAACAAGGTGTATCACCAAACCGTTCTTCGCCATCACCCAAATGATCATATGACCCTAAAATAAGGTGAATATTACTCCATTTACTTATTCCATAATGTACAGACCCTACTATGCTCAAATAGATATACATAACTCATGACTTCTGATCAATATATAAACTTTTCATCACGTCAAACTCACAGAACCATTCACGATCATGAAAGTGGTCGTGAAATGCCATCCATAGCTGTGATACTCACCATAAGTTGTGGAGGTTTCCTTATTTAGAATTTCATCTTATCTCTCCCTCAAGCACATCTATCTTCACGGCCGTAGATCAACTTTATGGACTATGAAAGCCATCGTGGTTGAGCTTGTCCTTAGCAATGTCCACTGTTTATGGAGGTGATATATTGGAGATGTACGAAGGTATCTTTATTTCACAGTTGTGAACCACACCATATTGATATGGTCAAATACTTAGGCCTTAAATATTAGTATTAATTCATATGTCAAGGCATGGATCGTATGTACCACATACAGCCGTGAATCCCATGCATCTTGGGTTGGCCTCATTGTTTGACTCCTAAACTTACTCATCTCTTGGGATAACCTTTTTACATTTGTGTTCTTGGCCTTAAAGGCTCAAATTATTATGAATTTTATCGACATCAACTTGGTCGTGCATGTACTATAAGCTACAGGGTGTTACGGTGCCATATGTGGGTGTTGATCATTATGGGACATATAAGTGGGATGAAGAGGTATCTAGACAAAGGAGAAGGTTTTTGATTTCCAAATGCTCACAAAGGGTGAGTGTTGAAGAGGCCAGAAAAGTGTAATATGAGGAAATGACACCCATATACATAAGCTCATGTTTGATATGTTGAGAAAAAGAATGATCATTCTCAAGTACAAATAAAGAGAGGAAGCTAATTTTAGAGACATGAATTTTATGGAGCTATTAATTAAGAAAGAAAATAAGATAAATATGGGGAAAGCAACTGAAGAGAATATTAGCCTTACAGCTTCTTGCTTACAAGGAATATTATCAACATATGAGTTATTATTAAGGGGAAGATGCAAATCAAGAGCTCATGAGAATTGAAGATGTTACAAGAGTGCAGATGAAGACGTATCAAGTTTTATCAAGCAAAATGTTTCTTTCAATCATTTGCATAACTATAAGACTCTACTGTACCAAATTGTCTTTGTTTCATTCTATCTGTGGGTGTAGCAGATACCAATAGTAAGCAACCCCTTGTCCATGGCCGTCAACCATCCCTATGTTCTTTCATTTGCTGGCCACGAAACCCATCATGGAAATTTCTCAAACATTCTGCTTTTATATATGAATTGGCTCTGGACATTGAATACTTGCAAACCGTAGACTGTGATTCTATACATTTGTACTTTCAGGATTAGAAAACATCTTTATTAGCTAATGCTACCTAGAGATAGCTGTACATGAAAATATACATGAGTAACACCCCTTAAATTCTCTCCTTTAACTACGAAAAAATAAGGTTAACGGAGAAAAAATAATTTGGCCATCAAAATTCCATGGTTGTGTCGTCTTTTTCTAATAATTTACCAGCTTACTAGATACTCCTTCCAAAACTAGCTTATTATCCACAGGCTGATATCTTTTTTCTCCGCTTGTAACATTTGTATTGGACAACACCTGTTTTTTCTAAAACCTTACTATCAGTAACTTCAGCTTGGTATTGCAGACTAGTCTCATCCTGGCAGCCAAGAGGAGCTTGTTGGTTCGCCTGTTCAAAGACCACAAACGATAATACTTAACATGAGGATCTAAGTAAAGAAAATCTGCTGAGATGTTATGAGCAAAGGAAATGTACCACATTAATGAGAGGAGTTGGAGCATCCGTATCATTATTTTCACATCCTCCAGGTGCACTGAGAAGTAGTAAAACAGTTTAGTTTTTATCAGCTAGGAAAGAAATTGCAGAGTTTGAACACAATAAACAGCACAAGAACACAATCAAATTCTAAGTGTGCTTTTGGATCCTAAACGTGTTCACTGTTCCAAAGGACAATCAAGACTGAACAACCTAATATAAGACTACAAACAGCCTCTGCAACCAACATTCCTATACAATAAAAATAGATCAATAAGTAAGATGTTCATTTGCTGAACTTCCTAATCCCCTATCCATTATATGTTATCACTCCTTAGTCATCCAATAGTTACAACAGTAATTATTTCTTTTTAGTAGTAGTTATTTTCCTGTGATAGTGCAGTTTTTCATTCCAGTAATGTGAGGTGGCAACTTGCTTGACTAATGATATTTCTCTTGCCACCTTTTCACTTAGTGGACCATTTGCCCTTTAAAAATATTGAAATATCATTACAATCCCCCACTATTTGAAGATTCTTCAACGAAAAATGTTGAAAATATGTCTTAGAATATTGCAAAAATAAAACAGTTAGCTATTTTTAGGGTTTTTAAATTATGTTATTAGAGTCCTATTTGACTTATATTTAGGAGTTAGTTCTTTTTATTTGTTTATTTTTAATTAAACTGATAAGTTAGTATCTTATTTTTCTATTTTAGTTAGGAATTATATCTATAAATGCAAGTCTCTGGATTATTAATAAAATAATTCTCTTTGATAATACTACGGTATTTTTTCTCTCAAAGTCTTTCTCTATTATTTTCTTAATTTCTTTATTAAAAAAACCAACAATTGGTATCTAGAGCCTTCTTCTTGAGGGACCTGTGAGTAGAAAAATGGATTCCGAAAATAGTTTTTCACGAATGGCTCCTCCTATTTTGATGGTGAGAATTATCAACTATGGGCTGTAAGAATGGAGACCTACTTGGAGGCTCTTGATCTTTGGGAAGCCGTGGAAGAGGATTATGAAATTAATCCGCTGTCAAATAATCCCACCGTGGCCCAAATCAAGAGTCACAAGGAAAAGAAAACCATTAAGTCGAAGGCAAAAGCAACTTTGTTTGCTGCTGTTTCAACAACTGTTTTCAAGAAAATCATGACTCTCACATCACCAAAAGATATTTGGAATTATCTAAAGAAAGAATATGCTGGAGATGAAAGAATACGAGGAATGAAGGTGTTAAATTTAATGAGGGAATTCGAATTGCAGAGAATGAAAGAGTCAGAAACAGTCAAGGAATACTCTGACAGATTGCTTGGTATTGTCAACAAGGTAAGATTACTAGGCACTGAATTTAAAGATACAAGAATTGTTGAAAAAGTTCTTGTTACAGTGCCCGAAAGATATGAAGCATGTATAACTACCTTGGAAAACACACAAGATTTGTCCAAAATTACCTTGGCAGAATTGTTAAATTCTTTGCAGACTCAGGAACAAAGGAGACTTATGAGGCAAGATGGCATGGTTGAAGGAGCATTAGTAGCCAGCCACAAAACTCAAAGCAATGGTAAATTTTTGAAAAATTACCCACCTTGTCAACACTGTGGAAAAAATGGACACCCTCCATATAAATGTTGGAAAAGACCAGATGCACAGTGCAAGAATTGCAAACAACTTGGTCATGAAGCTGTGATTTGTAAAAGCTATTTTCAAAAAGATGAAACAGTTGCCCAAGTCACTACTGAAGAAGAAGAAGAAGAAGAAGACCACTTATTTGTGGCAACTTGTTTTTCAACCAAAAAATCTGATTTTTGGATGATTGATAGTGGTTGTACAAACCACATGACATATGAAAGAAATCTTTTTAAAGAGTTACATTCCTATGGAAAATAAGAAAGTCAGAATTGGGAATGGTGATTGTATTCCTGCAAAAGGAAAAAGGTCTGTTTCAATTAAAACAAATTCAGGTACAAAAATAATTTCAGATGTTCTTTATGTGCCTGATATTGATAAAAGTTTGTTTAGTGTTGGTCAGTTAATAGAAAAAGGATTTAAATTATTATTTGGAGACAAATATTGTCGAATCTTTGATTCTACTAAGCAAGAGATTTTACAAGTTGCAATGAGAGGTAAGAGTTTCTCATTTAATCCAACAGATGATGCACACAAGCCTTGCAAGACAAATGATGAATTAGCAGATTTGTTCACAAGGTCAATTTCAAATGAGACTACAATCTACAATTCCTGATCCAAGAAGAAGTGTTGAAAATATGTCTCAGAATATTGCAAAAATAAAACAGTTAGCTATTTTTAGGGTTTTTAAACTATGTTATTAGAGTCCTATTTAACTTATATTTAGGAGTTAGTTCTTTTTATTTGTTATTTGAATTAAACTGATAAGTTAGTATCTTATTTTTCTATTTTAGTTAGGAATTATATCTATAAATGCAAGTCTCTGGATTATTAATAAAATAATTCCCTTTGATAATACTGCAGTATTTTTTCTCTGTTATTTTCTTAATTTCTTTATTAAAAAGACCAACAAAAAAGTACTAAATCAAAGAGTAAAAAGATTGTTGGATTTGCATGGCCTAAATGCAAAATAGGTTTTGGTGTCTTTTGAACTATGAACCAAACTTAGACCGCTAAAATTTAACTTACAGAATTACGAGTGAAATAATATATTTCTATGAACCAATAATTCTTATTGTAAGTCAGAGATTATATTAATCACATTTAGACCTCCGTAATTTTGTTGTTCAACACGATTTTGTGCCAATAGGCCCTGAGCGTGCCTGGTTATTCATGAGAGCTCTAGAAATTAGGCCAAAATCTCATAGGAGCAGCCTCGCTCCACTTCACATATAGGTGAATTCATCAAATGTATATTGTTTTGAATACACCATCCTTAAGGACTAAAATTCATTAAAAGTTAATAACTCATCCCTCACAATTAGTAACAGTTCAAGCACTCTCAATTAGTGTGCATTAATATCGACTTGTTATTAACCATATGAACCTACTTCATGGAACCTCCAGTCACAAAGGTTGGGTTACCATATTTATTGACATTCATATTGGCCTTAAATACCATCACTGTTGAGGTTTGAAGAATTAATTTTCTTCCCACAGGTCTAGTCAGTGAATTGGCCGAATTCAGTTGACTTCACATAATCAATGAAAATTATTCCATCTCTCAACAGTTGTTTTATGACATTATGTCTCAATTTCATGTGTGCGCTCCTGCAATTATAAGATTTATTCTTCACAATAGCAATTGTGGCTTGACAATCACAGTGCATAGACACATGATGTAATACATCCTTTATTAAAGGGAAATTCACTCAGAAATTTCTTAGTCACTCGGCCTCAAAACCAGCTAACTCCACAACTACAAACTTTGACTCAATAGTTGAACTAGCAATGATCGTTTGTTCAGCTGATTTCCACGATATTGCACCACCAACTAAGGTGAACACATTCACTAGTGGATTTTATCTCATCTATACTAGAGATCCATTTTATTTTTTTTGAGAAAGAATTAGAGATCCAATTTGCATCACAATACCCTTCTAAAGCTGAAGGAAATCCACTATACAGGATACTATAATTCATGGTTCCTCTCAGATACTTCATCAATCTAATTAATGCAGACCAATGCTCTATATTGGATTGTGAGTATATCTACTCAATCTACCACAGCATAGGCTATCAGGCCTAGAAAAATTCATTAAGTGCATCAAACTCCAAATAATTTGTGCATATTTAGACTGAGCAACTGGTCACCATTATTCCTTTTCAATTGAGAGTTAGCATCGTAAGGAGTGGTCACAGGTGTCACCTCAAATATTTAAACTTTTTAAGAAGCCTCTCCACATAACGTTCTTGTGACAACATTATATCAAATCCATTCCTTATAACTTCAACTCTAAATATCATATTTACTTCACCCAAATTTTTCATATCAAAATTAGTAGACAAAAATAGTTTGGTACTTTTCACAATATTTGAACTTGTACCAAATATAAGCATGTCATCAACATATAGGCATATTATCACATAATCAATGTCTACCACTTTAGGAGGATAAACACATTTATCCACTTCAATAGAAGAAAAGTTGTCTTTTAGAAAGACTTGATCAAATTTTTCACATCACTGTTTAGGAGCTTGTTTGAGGCCAGAAAGAGATTTAATTGATTTACTAACTTGAATTTTCTTGTCCAAGAATAATACATCCCTCAGGTTGAACCATATAAATTTCTTCTAAATCACCATTCGAGAAAGTTGTTTTTACATCTATTAGATGAATGAAAAGGCTAGTGAATTGATGTTAAGGAAATTAAAATTCGAATAAAAGAGATTCTAGTCATTGATGCAAATGTATCAAAATAATCATTTTTTTGTTTTTAAGAAAATTCTTTTGCTACTTAACAAGCTTTATATGTATCTATAGATCTATCAAGATTAAGTTTTTTAAAAAAAAAATTATTTACAACCAATAGGTTTTGCACCAGGAAGTAAATCTGTCAAAATCCATGTATTAGTTTTCATTATTGAATCAATTTCAATTTCATTGCCTCTTTCCAAAATTTAGCATCAAAGGAAGATATAACTTCAAAATAATTTGATGGTTCATTGTCAACCAAAACAGTTTGAAAATCATTTTCATAAGAAAAACACTCTTTCCTAGACCTTTTACTCCTTCGTAGTTCCTCAATATTAGAAAGACTCACTATTTATTTCAACAGGTGCATGAGAAATTGTATCACAATGAAAAAAAAAATTCAAAAAATTCAGCATTCTTTGTCTCAATAATAGTATTGCAATCAAGCGCATCACTCTTTAAGACAAGAAATCTATATGCAGATCTCTATCTTCAGCATAGTTAAAAAGCATGCAATCAGCAGTTTTAGAACCTATTTTACTTTTTTTAGGTTTAGGGAAAAGAACTTTAACATGGCACTCCCAGACTTAAAAATATTTCAAGTTAGGTTTATAACCTTTCCACAACTCATAAGGAGTTCTGCCAATTCTTTTATAGTTCTAATGCTCCTGATAATTTGTGGGGTAAAGCTATATTCTGCATGTCATTTGTCTCCTAAAGACATAATTATCAAGCTTGAATAGGTTATCAAAGTCATATTACAATTTTCATGTTACGTTCTGCATAATTTGAATGTTATATCTCTCTGATTACTCCCTTCTTCAGTCCTTAAAAAACAGAGAAAACAAAAGGGAAACATACTCTGCATATCCTTGATCCACAATTTCACTCCCTTCAATTTGCTCAGCTTGGAAGACCTCAGAAAGCGCACTGTTTCCATCCAACTCAACAGTCTCCTTGCTTTTTATGTGGTCAAGTTGAGTTTGATAAACTTCTGGATAAAAATGAAGTTTTAGTCCATCCATATCAAATCTCCATCTCCTTCCACAGTAAATGAAGAGTTTTACATACCTGTTGATTCACTTGATACCTCTGGAGGGATATTCTGGAGGAGTTTCTGACACATTACTGTACCCTGGAAATCAAGGAAAGTGTAATTCAAGAAGTTTAGCTTCTGAGATTCTTTCACCATTGTGAAACCAAATGAAGTGGTCCATGTGTTTAGCACGGCGGGGGCAGCAGGCAAAACTAGCCTCTCAACTCCTAATTCCATTAGTTTCTGGAATGAATAACAAAATTGCATTAGTTGAAAGGCAAGCAGATCAGATGACAAGCATATTCAATCTATGTCAAAGCATGCTCATCATTATCCCACGTACGTAGCGACAAAGAAAGAAAACCATACATGTGCACCATACCATCACTTATTCTTAACTAGAATTGAAGTCCTTTTGTTTTGATAGGTAACCATAACTTGACATCGATGTAGCATAACTGAGCATTGAAGCCAACCAAAAAAAAAAGCCCTAAGAGTGCTGCTTAATATGACATCTAGAGAACCAAAATAACCATGTCCAAAGGTTTTTCTCTTATAAAATGCATGTTTATGCTTCCGATAAGGAGAGCAAGCCAATGTCCCCAAACAGTCAACTCAAATGCATAGCCTCGAAAATGTTAATTATATAACCATGGAATGAAAGAAACACATGACTAAAAAATAAAAATTCAAAGTTATCTCCTATAAATTATAGCTTTCATGAACATCCCTGCTTAATAAAGTAATTATTGGTGATCTTTTTAAAACAGACATTAGATACATCCTTAGCAACAACTCTTCCTTCCGCTCCCTGAAGAAGGAAAATGAAAGAAAAAGTAGATTTGCATACCTTTTCAAGCTCATTCATTAAGATGCAACACATTCCAAGTCTGCGGTACTGAAATCTTGTTGCCACAAGAGGAACCTCAGCTACCTTTTCTCCATAAATCCTATGAGCATGAAAATTGTTAGCTTACTATCTAAGATTCAGTCACATTATTCAACTAATTTTTCATACTAAAGAGATTTATACTAAAATGATAAGTTGAGAAAAGTTTACTTCAATGAATAATATACTAATATATAATGGTTGGATACCTCACAGTCGCTACTGTAATCACTTCATCATTTCTTTCCAGAAGCACAGTATAGAAACCCTGAAAATTTAAGCGATTCAGCTCTGACCTGCAATTTCGAATTACAACTTTTTTCAGAGCATAAATAATTAAAACATATAGATACAAGTCTCTGAAAGTAGTGTTTAAGCAACTCGAGAGATAAATACTACACTCAAGGCTGATTAAGTTCATGAATGGTAGAAGCTCTAATCTAACCTTTGATGAAAGAGTGTCAACAATGAAAGTGTCATATGATATGCATAACTTTGTTTTCCATAAATTACGCAGTTCAACAAGAATATTTGCACAAAATTCAACAAAGGTTACTCAAGAATTTATAAAGCTGGATATTACCATCTATTAAAGATAACATCTTCCATAAGATCCCTCCTTGTGTAAGGTTCTTCGACAGGCTCAAAGCACTCATGCATCACATCCAAAGCGACATCAAGTTTACTATAAGTCTCCAAGACGAACTCATCTTTAGCAGCATCCGAATCAAAATCATCAGGTTTTACGTATTTCAATAAAGTCCAAGTGAGGTTATCAATTCCCACCATAACTGGCTTTGCCAAGAGTTGGTGGATACCCAAACATATCTGCAACAGATATTAAGTTGACTTAGACAAACTGTTTCTTAAAAGTAAACTTCAATAGACAGAAGAGGAGACTCATTTAACATATCCCTAGGATTGATAACATGGGAATAATCAATAAGAAATTCTTTTAAGATCCGACCGGTCAACTGCATTCTACACTGAAAATAACCTCTCAATGAGACAATTGACAAGAAATGGAAGATGTGCGTTCTACTCAAGATGCAAATGCTTTCTATTCTGTGTTAGGCATGAATCCTACCTGCTCACATCTCTTATTGCAAAACCATTTTCCTACAGGATAACAATCCAGCTTTTGAAGACCCTTATCTCTCACGCACCGAGCATGATCTGTACATAATTGATCAACATCAGTAATGCCAAACATCCACAGAATCCTGTATAAGCTGCAGTAGGAACATAAAAAATGATCAAAAGAGCTTCTTACACTTGTGCTCACACTGACAACAGATAAGTAGACTGCTTTCTGTAAAGTGGTCTTTGTTTTTATCAAATCTGCTCTCGCCACACATTTCACAACAGCATGATGGGCAAAACCACTCGCCATCGGGAACCTCCTGTTTAAGCAATAGAATGCAGTTGGTATCAAACAGGTGTAGAACCAATATGCAAAATGCTCTCTCTCTCTCTCTCTCTCTCTCACTGCCTAACCAATGTAATTGACAATATGAATCACAGGGCATCTGCAACCCATAACACCAACACTATTTTAGTATAAACCAACTCCAACGGCTCCAACCCACTACACTAAAAAGAATATTCACTTTATATTATTCCCTCTCTTCAATATTATATTATTATTTTTTATTTCATTTATATTTTCAAAAGTTTTATATAATACAAATAATAATAAAATAATCAAAAAGAGATTTGGTGTTGATGAATAGTATAACACCAAATTTGGTGTAACACTATTTACACACTAAAATAGTGCAAGAATTGTTGTTGGGTTGGAGATGGGAGGAGAAAGAAACAAAGGTACGATAAGAGCGACAGACAGAAAGACACCTTCATTCCAAGGCAACCAGTATGAAAGGAAGATGGGCATTCATCACACAGAAGTAATTCACCACCGTAATGGCACACAGAACACACATTGTCATTTGTGCCCAAATGGCTGTGCTTCTTCAACAAAGGTGATCTCTTCCTCGTGTTTCTTACAATACTCTTTTCTTTCATCTGCAGTTGACAATCAAGAAGGGATCGTCCATCTTCCAAAAATATATTTGCTGAAGGTCTGTGATAACTGCTTCCAGCATGCACCTCAAAATTGCTAATTCCATAAACTTTTTGGCAGCACTTGCATTTGATCCCTGCACGAGTGATCTGCCCTTCTGCCATTGGACGACCATCTTTTTTCACACGATATTGCACTTTGGCACGGGGCAGAACCACATTATTGTCAATCAACCAAGATAAAACTGTTCGAGGTGTATGATGCAAGGAAGAAGAAACTGTTGCCTGCCGAGCTCTTTTACTTGATCGCAACTGACGAGCTGAAGACTGAGATTCTGTACCATCTACTACTGTTCTTGAAGATCTGGATTTTCCTTCTTTCAACATGTTCCACCCACCTGTGTGGTTACTCTTCTTTCTTGTTTTGCTGATTTCACAAACTGTGACTTTATTAAGTTGAGCAGGTTCTTTCGGAAGTGGCAAGACAGAAAATGTCGCCATTGATAATTTCTTACATGAGGTCCTCTGAGGTGCCAAATTCACCTGAAATTCCAGAACATTTGACCGGGAAAATAATTCAGGCATCTGTCCCTCAGCTTTCCACTGCTGCATACACCATATGCATGCCGTTCGAAGAGAGATGAATTTTTTCCTCCCATGAGGAGGACAATACCGCAGTTCTCTCCTGTCCCCTTTCTGACAATAAGAAAAGTTCCATCCTATTGCAGCGAGGTGTTTCTTAGCTTTCATGATCATAGACTTCTTTTCCCCACTGTTCAACTTCTTATAGGCAGGATTGTCTGTTGATCCCAGTAAACAATAGTCAATTACAGCTTCAGGGCAGATTTCAGGAGGAACGATTGGTTCTTGAGAAGTATATTGCAGCTCAGACACCTCACTGCATGTCTGTGCTTTTGCCAGGCAAGTAGAAAGGTTGAGATCATCAGATGAACCATCATATGATGTTTTTTGGCCTTCTACCCAAGTTTCTGACTTTTCCAACATCTTACAAACTTTACGAAGTGATTGAAATATCTTCCCATCAGAAGCCACGTACCGTGTCCTAATGATGTTGTAATCCTTTGCTTGCTCAATTTTCCATCCTAAGTAAGACAAATGTTCCTTAAGTTCTTGCAAGGACTTTAAGGACCTATGGTTCGACATATTATTATCATTGCACTCGGAAACTGCATCAGGACAAAGCTCAGTTTCATGGGAGATGGTCTTCCATTCAAGTCGCTTCCTCTTTCTAGAATGTTTCTTATTGGAAGACTGAAAGTTCAGTCTCTCACTCTTAGTAATTGACAAAGTACTGGAAATTTCATTTTTAGGGGGATGTAAAACTGACAAAGCATTAGGTGATATAGCTGGTTGTTGTTCTTGGCTTGGCAGAACTGAGTTAAACATAACACTACCACTCATTGGAACATCCTCTGAGATTGGTGCAAAACCCTCCGAAACAAGTTGTTTTTCTACAGGCTGAAGACATGATACATACGGATCCACACACAGCATCTCCCCACTAACCGAATTGCATATGGCTTCAATAAAAGGTACCATGGCTGAGTTATCAAAATATGTTTCAACCTTGAGTATAGCCTGATGAAAATTCTATCAATTGCCTCCTCTACAAATTCTATCAATCCTAAAAGCCACTAAACCAGTGCTTCAGCTTTCTTGTCATGTTCTTGAAGTTTCCTGAAGAAAAAATTCAAGAATTTAGCTTTCATGAAGTAACTGAATTTTTTTATGGTAAAATTCTTCATTCAATTAAAAATTCATGTTCCCTCAAGATTAAATTCAACCAATTCACTGATTACAGTGGCATAAGAATGAATTCATTCAATTAAAAATTCATGTTCCCTTCAAGATTTAATTCAACCAATTCACTGATTACATTGGCGTAAGAATGAATTCATTCAATTAAAAATGTATGTTCCCTTCAAGATTAAATTCAACCTATTCACTGATTACATTGGCTTAAGGATGAATTCATTCAATTAAAAATTCGTTCCCTTCAAGATTTAATTCAACCAATTCACTGATTACATTGGCATAAGGATGAATTCATTCAATTAAAAATTCATGCTCCCTTCAAGATTTAATTCAGCCAATTCACTGATTACATTGGCATAAGGATGAATTCATTCAATTAAAAATTTATGTTCCCTTCAAGATTAAATTCAACCAGTTCACTGACAATGGCGGCTCAACCCAAGGCCACCCAAAAAAAAACCCAAATTCAGTTCGCTCTAATACGAAAACATACCGAAGATGCACAAAAAAAAAGAAACAAATTCGACCAAGATGCAAGATTAAACGAAGAACCAAAAGCACTGAGCAGACAGAAGAAGAAGATTACATATACATACCTATAAAAGAGAACCAATGAAGGCGATGTAAAATATTATTTAACTATGAGAAGTACCGTATTAACAAAAGATACCCTTTATTATTGTATTGTATTTGTATTTTTATTGTTAAGCTACTCAGCTAGAGCAGTCAAATTGGGTTGGCCCATTAAATTTGAAAGGACATAAATCACATACTTTAAAGCCAAAATGACCATTTGTCCCTTATAAGTTTAAAATGACTGAAAATCCCTCCCCGCCCCGACCGGCAGCTGCTAGGTTTCCCCATCTCTTCTAAACTTCCCCCGATCTTCGGCCCGAGCTGTATGAGGCAAAAACTCGTCCCACATACGGTTCGGAACAATAATTCAGCACTGATACATTAAATATATGGCGCAGATACATTATTAATTAAAGGTTGGATATTTTTTGTTGCGCTTTTAATGGAAAATGAAAACGGAAAATCAAAAATTGAATCCCATAAATCACGCCAAATCAGTTTTCGTAAAGTGATTCCCAAAAATAACAAATCAAATCAAATCAGAATTGAAAAGATTCAAATGGTGTTCATCTTCTGCAAATTGCGTTCATCTTCTTCTTTGTTTCAACAAAGAGGACTTCGACTGAGAATCAATTTTGTTGAAGTGAGTTTAATCGGATAGGTAATGAATATATCAATTTTGTTGAGGCATTCTGGAGTTTGGGAGAGTGAGATTAATTATGAAAGATACAAGAGTGATGGGATATTGGTTGGTGAAGATGTTTCCTTCATGAACCTAGTTTCAACAATTGCGGCTGAGTTGAATATTGATGAGTCGAGAAAAAATATTGAAATATGATACATTGTAGAAGGAAACTCCTCTCCAATGAATATAAGGACTGATATGGGAGTAAGATTGTATGTAGAGATGAAGAAACGCGAGATCGGATTTGGAATGTATCCCCTCTGTATTGATACAATTGCTAAGGATGTTGTCGATAGTGAAAATTTTGATGTGTCGACTGGTTCAATCGTCTGTGTTGAAGGTGCTGAACAGGATACACTCACTCTCAACTTGGTAGAATCAAAAAATGGTGGTTTGTGTTATATACTAGAGTTAGAGGTGACGAATTACATATCTGATACAAAAAGTACAGACGTGAAAGTGGATCAATTGTACAAAGATAAAGCCACTCTGATATATGTAATGGCAAAATACAAAATAAAACATGGCTTTAATTTCAGAGTAAAGAGATCTGATAACAGGAGGTATGGAACTTTGTCTAGTATATTTCATGTGTTAATGTATCAATATATGATTGTTCTGATTAATGTATCGTTGAAATTTGTTGAAACAGTACGGAAACGTTATTGTCTAAAATTATGATACAATAACTGTATCTAGTTTATTTCATATGATAATGTATCAATATATGATTGTTCTGATTAATGTATCGTTGAAATTTGTTGAAACAGTACGGAAACTTTATTGTCTAAAATTATGATACAATAATTGTGTCTACTTTATTTCATAAGATAATGTATCAATATATGATTGTTCTGATTAATGTATCGTTGAAATTTGTTGAAACAGTACGGAAACATTATTGTCTAAAATTATGATACAATAACTATGTCTAGTTTATTTCATGTGTTAAAGTATCAATATATGATTGTTCTGATTAATGTATCGTTGAAATTTGTTGAAACAGTACGAAAACGTTACAGACTAAAATTATGATACAATAACTGTGTCTAGTTTATTTCATATGATAATGTATCAATATATGATTGTTCTGATTAATATATCGTTGAAATTTGTTGAAACAGTATGGAAATGTAACGGACTAAAATTGTGATACAATAACTGTATCTTATGTAACTGATACAATATTTAGTATGAAACTTGAAATAGCAGATACACATACACAGACCCATAAACAAAACACAAACGATACATTAATGACTGAGATCTACTGAACAATGCATGTTATAACAGTTGAAATAAAATACATTATAATTTGACTTAGTTAGGGTTAGTGTATAAATTGATTACAGATAATAACGATACATTAAATAAGAGACCTGAATTTGTGCATTTTTTGTATCATAAATTGATTAACTAACAAAAAAAATTACAACATTCGAAAGAAGAAGAACTAAAACCTAACCTCAGGTAATGGAGGTCGAGAAATTGGAGGGAGCAAATTTTTGACCCCTTTTTTTGGGGGTTTTACGAACGGTTTTTGAAGATGAAGTACAATCGTTTTTCTTCTTTCCATCTTTTACATTTGCCATTAACAATGGGTCGTGTAGGCTTTTGGATCTGTTCTCCTCCCAATCAGTATCTTCATAGTCATATATCTGATTAGTGTTAGCATCATCCATCTGATTCAACAGTTTAGAAGAACAAACAAAAGAGTATTTCAACAGTATAAGAAGAAACAAAAGAGGATTACAAGAAAAGTATCAAATTTACCTAGAGTACACACAGAGAGATACTTGATTTTGAAGAATATTGGAGAAATCAACTGTCAAAGAAAATGTGGAGAAGTTTTAGAAGAGAAATAAGAAAAGAATGAACTCTGATTTTTAGCGTAGGAAAGGCCCAATATTGTATCCGTGAGATTTTTTGACTTAAAAGAGAAAAAGAGGGATTTTGGGGATTAATAAAACTTTTAAGGGAAAATAGTAATAAGTAAATTTAAGGGGGGGATTTGTGTCATTTTGCCTTGGGTTAATTTATACGGGCTTTGAAATTTGATTGATTAGGACGGGTTGATTTTTTGGGCTAAAAAGTTGTTAGTGCAACTCACAAGTAGGTGGACTGTGGACTATGCCGGTCTAGCCTATTTTAAATATATATATATTTTTATATTTTTTAAATTAAGTTATTTTTTTAAAATATTATCATAAATATCAATAAGATAATATTACATGATGTTAGTGTTACTGTTGTTAATCATATCCATAAATAAAATTATCTTTATAATATTTATTAAGTTTGATTTCAAGTAAAAGTATAAATAGTTAAATAGAAATATTAACATAATTGGTTTTCGATGATCACAATAAAACACAAAAAAATGACAATATTTCATCCATAAAATGGTGAATAAATAGGCTATGGCCTACGTAGTAATTTCCTAGGAATGTTAGGAAATTTTTATTTTATGTATTACATATTTTATATACATAAGTTGTATTTAAATTTTTATATTTAAAACTTTAAATAGATTTTGAGTTTGGACTCTTGTTATTTTTAATACTCTATTTTATTTTTATTTTCTTAATTAATTTTTATTTATCCCATGGGTCTACCCTACCCATATTTCTCAAGACCCACAAATCAGCAAGTTTATTCAGGTCAGGCTATAAAAAAAAAAATCGTAAATGGGCTCCAAAAATCTTAGCTCAGCCCTACTAAATCACGGTTTAGGCTTAGCCATATTGACAACTCTAGTTATAGCATATTTGGCATTGTTGTTGGAAGACCAAAAACACTTATTTTGAGTAATAAGGTGTTTGGCTAATCACTGAAAATGTTTTTAAATAGAAGTATAAGCATTTTTTTTCTGTTGTTGAAGAGAAGCTAAAAAATTATGTTTTTAAATAAAAATAAGGAGCAAAAGCAAAAAGTTATTTATTTCAAGACCAATATATCTTTGTTATAGCCTATATATACATATTTAACAATATATCTCTTATATATATTTATTAATGAGTTTTTTGTATGTAGTGATTTAATTTGTGAAATGATTTTAAAACTTATTTTGCTTGATATTTTTAATTATATAATCATCATGTTAATGATTTATTAATATTTAATTTAATTTTTATTCATCTATGTATAATATTGATCGAAATTTTGAACATGTATATTCTAATTTTAAAATAAAAATTTAATTATAAATTTTATAATAGATATTTTAAATAATCTTTAATAATAGAATTGCATTGATACGTGTCTTTTTTAGTAATTTGATTCTCAAAAGTTTTTTTTTTTATAAAAAAAATAGTCAAGCACAATCCACTTATCAAAAGCACTTTCCAAATGAATTAACCAAACACAGATTGCTTTTTTTCAAAACCACTTTTCCGAAAAGCTATTTTTTTTAAAAAATCTTCTGAAAAATATGCAATTTTTAGCAGCAATGCCAAACAGGCTCTTAGTCTAAATACAGTGTTTGTTTTGATTGTTACTAAAATTCTATTGTATTGTACTCCCTCTGTTTCAAAATAAATGAATTGTTGAGACATTTTCTATATTCCAAATTAACTTAATTGTTCAATCTTCAAGACTACTTTTAGAATATTCTTCATTTTTACCCTTTATTTGGATTTTCTATGTGATAAGTTCAAGAAACTTTAATTGCTTGAATTATTCTAAAGATTAATTTGACAATAATTAATAAGGGCAAAAATGAAAAGTAACGTCTAATTTATTGTCACGACCCAGGGGTTCCCCCTAGATGTAACACGACGTACTCGACCCCGAAGGGGTCTCACACAAGCCCTTAGCATAATCATAAACATAAGTAATAGAAATGGTGCAAAATTAAAACTTTTTTACAATCAAAGTCTTTTCATAAAATTGAAATAGAAGTCTAGACATCGTCTCCATAAACCATCTAATATAATCGAGAATCAATAGGGTCATAGCCCTTTATAATAAAGTCTCAATGTAGAACATACGAAAGGAAACTAGGAAGAATAGCTCTTGTCCTCGAACCATGAGGACTCACCAAGGCAAGGAGAGAATCAATCCAAGCCTTCAACCAAAGAGAAGCAACCTCAACAACCGGGACCTACACTTCTAGAAAAATGTAGAAAATATGGGTTAACACAAAAATGTACTAAGTATGGAAGCCATGCATAAAAATCCTTAAAACATGCTTAAAAGGGACATTTAGTTCAAATCATGCATTTGTCAAGTTTAACAGTCATCATGCACATTTGTGAAGAAACATAAGTCATACCATATCATAAGCAACCCAAGGCTATACTTGTGCAATGCATA